AATACAAAAAATAGAGCGCATAAAGTACTTAAAATATACATGAAGAATATAATATAAACAGCAACATGAGATTGACAGTTGGTGAATTTAATCAAACGAGGTATTAACCCTAATGTTTTTGACTTGGTATGTGGCAGTCACAGATGTTTATGTTTGATTTTAAACAAGATAATTGATTTAATGAAGACATCACCTACATAGTTACTGATCAATAATTTGTGTTCATGCATCTTTCTGGTTAATTAAGCTGATTAAAAATCGTCAATGCTATGATGAGAAGGCCCAGCATCACCTGGTGGTTAAGGCGTTCGACTCGTAATCTGAAGGTCGCAGGTTCGAATACCCGTCACCGAACATGCTTGCTTTTTCAGCCGTGAGGACGTTATAAGGTGATGTTCAATTCCACTATTCGTTAGTAAATGTTAGTAGTGGGTTCTATTGACTAGCTGCCTTTCCTCTAATCTATCAGTGCTAAATTATTTTGCGCGAAATTGAAACCAAATTATGATGAGGGTTGCTACATTAACTATAATAAATAAGTCACCTACAGCTAGAATTTATAATATATCAGTACAATAAAATAGTATGAGTGTATTAATGGATATTTATGTAAATACACTCCTAGTAGGCAAATCTAGTGAAAAGTGCGCGATTAACTGTTAGCGAGTGTGCAGGACTTTTGCACGGACCTAGTGTTCAGTGAAGTGTTAATAACGTACAAATGTTAACAGTGTATTATACATGAACATGGCCTTATGAAAGGGGTTGGATGAAGTATTAGAAAGAATGCAAACTCCGGCCCTCGCGTAAATACAATATTAAACACTTACAAGAGGGGAGGGGGGAGATGTGTCAAAGCTGCACCTACCCCCCCTAAAAACAAAAGAGGTCGAGACCTAAAACCGATGATGAACTAAACGAACGAACTTTCGAGCCAGGCAGAGAATAAAAGGGGAGAAACGAATAAACTAATAAACTAAAGAGTTTCATAATCCTTCTGGGATATGCCCAAAATCCCCTGAAAATTGTATGGTAATCGGAGGCAAGAAATTATAAAAGTTTCCTCATGAACAGACATACAAGAACAAGATACTTTATGGTATAAATCTAATTTTCTGAAGTAGTTTTTATTCACAAAGTATGCATCTACCTACAAAATATAAAATTAATATGACGTGGCAGCCAGCTTGTTATTGTGATAAACAACTAGAAAATATGGTTGTTTGTATAGTTAAGCACAAAGATACACATTGGGCTATCAATGCTCTGCCCACCACGGGTATCGAAACCCGGATTCCAGCGTTGTAAGTCTGCAGACATACCGCTGTGCCACTGAAGGGGCCACCTAGAAAAAGAAAGAAAGAAAAAAATCGAATGCAAATAATACTTTTAAAATTTATAAAACATATGCAGCCTTTTGATAAACACTTATATATATTTGTTAAGGGTTGTAATTTTGCTGGAATTAGGTAAGCAAAGGCATTAAAAATACCCAATCAACACTTTACAGATCATTTTTGGTTGCAACTAATCTCGGTGTATAAACACAACCTAACTTCCACAATAAATTAAAATTTTTACTAGTTTCTGTCATATATAAGATGAATAAAATGCAGTTAATCGTTTTCAAAATTAGAAACAATACGAATGACTTATCATTAAATTCAACTCAGAAATAAATTCAAACGAAAAAAAAGTAAATTTGATTACAGTTATTATTTTGAAAAGATACTGCTATAAACTAGACAGTTTAACCAGTTTGGGCATATATACTAATGACGCTTTTTGAAATAATACCTTAAAATAAATAATCAACTTCATAACTCATAATCTTTCGAAAACGATAGTTTCAGCCTAACGAGCTGAGAAAGATTTCATGGAAACAAATGGTACTAGATACGAGAGTGGGAAATTAGCGAAATAATGATGTTAAGCTCTCCAAATTACGTCATAAATTTTGGCCAATTTATAATTCTGAATAAAGTAAGAAAATAGTGTGTATTATGCATAAAAATATTTTTTTGCAACCGATAGAGGACTGGTGCTTTAGTCATTACTATACCTCTGTTTAACTACCCAGCTTGGTATCATAGCGTGTCACAAAATTGAGTAATTGGTAAATAATTTGGCAGATATAGTACTCTGGTATATTTTTCTCAGACATGCCAACTTTAATCTTGAGAATATGTTTTCGTTACTCTAATTTTTCAGCGATAAAATCTGCAGCCAATAACTTCTGCTACTTAGAGGAATGCTCAAATTACTGGAAAACACCAAACTATATCGACCTAGATGAGCTGATGAAACACTCGCGGAGCTCAAAATTGTATTCCTAAATTAGTTAACTTTGCGAGCAGGGAATACGTTCGAAAATCCTGTTTTTTCAACTGCCTTTAACTTTTTTCATATAAACATGTCATCTACATCTAATTAACTGGCAAATAAACTAGTGAAATGATAGTGCCAGATATGAAACACTTATTCACATAAGTTTCAATAACATCATAAATATATGAATCAAGGGAGTAACAATATGTAAAAGTTTTAAGACACTTAAATATATATATATCTCATTTTATGAAGCAGCTAGAAATAAAGAAACAAATTAAGCTTTGGATATATAAATATAAGAACACTTCAGATGTAGTTCATGCTTATATTTTATTAGCTCTGTTAATTAATTTAATGTTCAAAGTATTTCAAATTACCACACTCACGTGGTCTTAATAATGTCAAAGTTGTTGGCTTTAAGTATGAAAACAGTTTTGATAGTATTGAAACTAAATTACACAGGTTATGAATAAGAGAAATACTATTCGTATAATTTAATGAACTAAATGATTTATTTTAACTCTTAAAAAAATGAAGGCTAGATTGCTGGATTGCACTACAAGATTACATAATTTCACACTCAAGGAAATTAAGTCTAACATAATTAGACCTTTGTGTTCTGTAATACATTCTAGATTTTTTGTGGTTTGTTCATATGGAATTATTTCCAATATTCTTTAACCTCAGGAAGGCTGGATTGAAGATTTTGAAATTGTTCTTATATTATTTCTTATATCTTTTTTTTTTTCTATCCGTGTGTACCAACATTTGAGAAAGTGCATTGTTCAAGAAAATGGTCAGAAATGAAACTGATTTAATTAACTTCAAAGTTTATCTGAACTGAGATCCTTATTATCCTTAGAAGTTTCCACGTTTGAAACATAAACTTAAGTCTCGCAATTATACGTTTATTCTGTCAAATCTTCTTACACATTACATATATATATATATATATATGCTATATGTATATATTTATCTAATGCTGACATGATTTTTCATTTCCCAAAGAAAAAGTCATCACCACCCACCGCCAACTCTTGGGCTACTCCTTTACCACCGAATAGTGGGATTGCGCGAAACATTATAACACCCCCACGGCTGAAAGGGCGAGCATGTTTGGTGGGATGGGGATTCGAACCCGCGACCCGCAGATTGCGAGTCGAGCTCCCTAACCACCTGGCCATGCCGGGCCGGTTTGTGTATAAATAGCTGTTTTTGATTGTATTTCTATGATAGTTCAGCATGTGAATACACACAGATTATTTTATTCAAAATACACGAATTAAAGAGTACCCTTATCATGAACAAATTCCAATATATACATAGCACCAAACGATTCCGAGAGCTTATGTCATCAGAAAACTCTGAATAAGAGGAATAAAGTTTAGAAATCATTTACATACAAGACCAGTATTAAGAAGTTAATTTCTATATCTTTTAATACCAAGTATCTTGAATCCTCTAAATGCTAAAGTTTACACTTGGTTAGACTACTATTATAACTGTCAAGAAAATAAACACTATTTTCACGTGAGCTAAATTAGGAAACGAACGCAACTAACAACTGTTTTGACTAAACGCTTAACTTTAATTATAGCTGAATTGTTGGTACCTCGCAAAATAAACAACAAAACTTCCTATACTCTTATTTCTATCTCTCTATTTCAGATTGTTGAAAAAACTGTTCCATGATATTCGTTCTGGGTACGGAATGACTAAACCTTTAATTTTAATTATAGCTGGATTATTAGCACCTCACAAAATAATAAGAACATTTTCTATACTTTTCTCTCTCTATCTCAGATTATCGAAAATACTATTCCATGATATTCGTTCTGGGTACGGAATGACTAAACCTTTAATTTTAATTATAGCTGGATTATTAGCACCTCACAAAATAACAAGAACATTTTATATACTTTTCTCTCTCTATCTCAGATTATCGAAAATACTATTCCATGATATTCGTTCTGGGTACGGAATGACTAAACCTTTAATTTTAATTATAGCTGGATTATTAGCACCTCACAAAATAACAAGAACATTTTATATACTTTTCTCTCTCTATCTCAGATTATCGAAAATACTATTCCATGATATTCGTTCT